TTCCATTCTTCTTCCATACCCTGTGTCTCTATCTATGTATCTACACACAGAACACTGTTGAAAAACAAAAGAATTTAACTTTAGTCATTTACACCAAACCAAATTCATCCACAACTTTGCTTTAGCTAATCCTTGTGAACAAATCAACTCTTGATGAAAACTGCTGTTGTAAATATACAAAGAAGGAAACCAAGAACAAATGAACTATACTAGGAGTCAGTAAATTACAACCTGCAGACCAATTCTGTCTGCTGCCTGTTTTTGTTAATGCAGCTTTATTGAACACAGCCACTCTTCTTTTTTTTAATGGTGCCTATGATCACTTTTGGGTGATAATGTCAGAGCTTAGATGGAAAACAGATAGATGGCCTGAAAAGTCTAAACATTTACTATCTGACAAGTTTGCTAATTCCTGAAATAGAATGCTAAACCACAGGACCTTGGCTAAAGGCAGGGATCAAAAGTATCTTGCTCAGTGCTATATGCTCAATGCACAACATAGTACATTTACCTAACTAAATGTATTTCATTACATAACTTACATTTACATAACTAAAATATCTGCTGAAAGAATGATCTCCAAACAGGGTAAAAGGTTAAAAAAAAAAAAAAAAAGCTCTGATCACCATGATTCTTTCTTGTTAATCAAGACTATCTATAAAGTATATCATAAGAGTGATGAACAAAACAATTTCGTAATAAACAACTTGTAATCCACTCACTGGGGACACAATATAGGTCAGTTGTTTTTACGTTTACTTACAAAGTGTAGCATATGCATCTTTCAGTATCAGATGATGTGACAAATTTGACAATTTTTTCCTATTGCCTACTATATGTCCTGGTAGCGTAGTGGTTACAAATCGGGCTGTGAACCCTAAGGTCAGCAGTTCGAAACTACCAGGCGCTTCGCGAGAGAAAGATGAGGCTTTCTACTCCCGTCAAGATTTACAGCCTTGGAAACCCTGTACAGGGTCGCTATGGGTCGGAATCGACTCACTTAACAACAACAACTATATGTACTGGTGTGGCACTGCAGGATAATGCGATGGACAGAAGGGTCAGTTTGAACTGCAAGGCTGGCAATTAGCTACTCCTTGGAAACGCTATACAGGGTCACTATGGGTCGGAACCAGCTTGATGGCACTTAACAATATGTCCTGGTGTGGACACTGGAGGATAAGCACTGGAGTTCAAGGTCAGTTTGAACCACAAGGTGGACAGTTCAAACTCATAAGCCATGCCTTAGAAACCCTATACAGCGTCGCTATGAGTCAGAATCAACTCGATTGCACTTAACAACAACAATATGCCACCTGACTCTTGGTGTGTCGTTGTAGGATAAGTACTCGACTGCAAACCACAAGGTTAGCAGTTCAAACCTATTAGCTGGTCCTTGGACGTCCTATACAGGGTCACTGAGTTGGAAATGACTCGACAACACTCAACATATGCCACTACTGCCCATCTGTAAGTGTGCCATATTGTGGTGGCTTACATGTTGCTATGATGTTGGAATGCTATGATGTTGGATGGTTGCTATGCTACCAAACCCAAACCAAATGAAGCCAAGTCCACTGACATTGAGTTGATTTGGACTCATGGCGACCTTATAAAACACAGTAGAACTGCTCTACAGTTTCTGACTGTAAATCTTTACAGGAGCAGACAGCTTCCTCTTTCTCCTATGGAGCAGCCAGTGGGTTTGAACTGTCTTGCAGTTAGCAGCCCAACGTTTAACCCACTGCATCACTAGGACTATGCCACTAGCATTTCAAATACTAGCAAATTAACACATTTAAGCAGAACTTCCATACTAAGACAAATTAGAAAGGCACAGCAATTAAAAAAAAAAAAAAATCAGTCATTGAAAACTCTATGGAACACAACAGAATACTGTCCTATACAGAGGCAGAAGGGAACATGGTGGCTCCATACAATAAGCACTAGACTGCAAACCACAAAGTCCACAGTTTAAGCCCAACAGCCACTCCAAGGGAGAGAGATAAGGCTTTCTGCTTCTGCGAAGATTTAAAGCTTCAGAAACTTTATACAAGGTCACTGTGAGTCGGGACTGACTGGACAGCAATGAACAACAATGGTGCTAGAAGGAGTCCTGGGTGCACGTGGGTCATGCAATGGGATGCTAACTGCAAGGTCAGTAACTCGAATCTACCAGCTGCTCCACAGGACAAAGATGAGACTGGCTTTGTGCTCCCATAAAGATTTACAGCTTGAGAAACCCTATACAGGGTCACTATGAATCAGAACCAACTGCACAGCACACAGCAGCATGATGCTGGAATGCCCCCTTAGTTGAGAGGCACTATACAATGGCCAAAACTATGGACTCAACATGCCATCGTTCATGAGGAAAGCACAGGACCAGGCAGCATTTCACTATGGGATAGACAAGGTTGCCATGCACAGCAACTAACCAAGATACAGGTTAGCCAAGATAAGCTAGACCCTGAATAGGCGGCCAAGGAGAAGGGGACTGAAAGTACGAGGAGTTTCAAAAAGATAAAGGAAAGTTCCATTGTTTTTTAATTCCATTTTTCCACAAACTTTTTGAATCCCTCTCATGTAAGGCAGATACCCCATCCTCCATAAGCTTAATAATCTAATGGGGGAGACTGACAGGTGGCTGGTGATCCTAGGTGCCATCAAGTCAGTTCTGACTCATAGTGACCTATGCACAGCAGGAAAACACATTGCCCAGTCCTGTACCATCTTCACAATTGTTGTTACCCTTGAGACCATTGCTGCTCTCACTGTGCCAATTCATCTCATCAGGGGTCTTCTTCTTTTTGCTGACCCTCCACTTTACCAATATGATGTCCTTCTCCAGAGACCGGTCCTTCCTGATAATATGCCTGAAGTATGAGAGATGAAGTTTTGCCATTGCTTCTATGAAGCATTCTGGCTGTGTTCTTATAAGACAGATTCGTTTATTCTAGCAGTCAATGGTACTTTCAATATTCTCCTCCAACACCATAATTCAAATGCTCCAATTCTTCTACAGTCTTCTTGATTCACTGTCCAGCTTTCACAAGCATATGAAACTACCGAAAATACCATGGCTTGGGTCAGATGCACCTTAGTCCTCAAATTGGCATCCTTGCTCTTGAACACTTTAATAAAAGAGATCTTGTGCAGCCTAAGGCAATACATCCTTTGATTTCTTGACTAATGCTTCCATGAGTGTGGTAGATCCAAGCAAAATGAGGTCTTTGACAACTTCAATATTGTCTCCATTTATCTTGATGTTATTCATTGGTCCAGTTGTGAGGATTTTTTTTTTTTTTTTTTACATTAGGTGCAATTTATATTAAAGGCTGCGATCTTTGATAGGCAGGTACACAAGAATTTTACTGCAGTGCAAAGGGTAAAGAAAGAGCTCTGCTAGCAGAGTGGTTACGAATCGGGCTGCGAACTTTCAGGTCAGTAGTTCTAAAATACCAGTTGTTCCACGGGAGAAAGATGAGGCTTTCTGCTTCCGTAAAGATTTCCAACCTTGGAAACCCTGTACAGGGTTCGTTCTGAGTTGGAACTGACTCCATGGCACATAAAAACAATGGGTAAAGCATGCAGAGTCTAAAAAACCAGAAAATGAATATAGACACAGAGAAGGTCTTGCATTTTATAGGAAACTCTGAAATTTAAATTCAAGAAGTCTTCTGATTTCAATTCATTCACTCATGTATTTATTCAAATACTTACTGAGTATCTAGTATAGGTGTGGGACAAACGTTTACTGGCACTGTGGGTTAAGCACTTTGCTGCTAACACCAATGTCAGCAGTTCAAAGCTACTCCTCAGGGTAAAGATGAGGCTGTCTTCTATACTCACCAAGATTTACAGTCTTAGAAACCTTATGGAACATTTCTATCTATATCTGTATCTATATCTATATATACACACACACACATCTGTTATGAGTTGAAAACTCTATGGCTGTGGGTTTGGGTTCCACTTCTGAAGTTTCCCAGCAATCAAGGTATTTTTGTTTTCTAAAATAGTTAACACTTAAACATGTGCAAATGAGAAAGGGCTACACAGGCACCACACCTGGCAACAAAACTAAGAAAGGGAGGAGGCATGATGCAATCAATCAAGCACATTCACTGATCCC